ACTTAAACATAAAGATCAAGCTATATTAAAATAAGAAAAAAGTACCAAATAATAAAAAATCTATAGTTACAAAAAAAGCAAAAAAAAAAATTTATTGTCCAAAGGACATTACTGTTAAGGCATAGAGCACCTGATGTCTGTTTGTGTGTGCACAAATTACGAATTTTGATTGGCTAGATCAGGTATAATGTAAAAAATCAAAACAACCAATGACCAATATTTATTGGCTAGATCAGGTATAACATAAAACAAAAATCCTTTAGACTTTGAATGGTCTTCATTTTCCTAGTATGTATAAAAAAAAAGAATAAGCTATGTTAGTACAATAAGTAAAAAAAATTAAATCAATAAAATTTTATACAATTAATAAGGGCCATGTTATTAATCACCTGATTATTTTTTATTAGAGACCTATTTCTCTCTCTTCTTTTAATATATAAATAATCAGATTCTTTATATACAATTTCAACTTTTTTTACCTTCTTCTCTCCCTAAAAAATCACCTGATTTTTGACACTTCCCTAAGTAAAATAATATATATTTATGATTTTTTTTTTTTAATATTAAAGTGAGTATATGCAACTCAGGATTTTATTAGTAGTATCAGTTGACCAGTATCTGTTGATATAATAGCACAAAGGTAATTATGAAAAGAGTGTACAACTAGCAACTTGTACAACTTTAGTCATTGTATAATTTAAGTAGTCTGCCTGAAGGTTCTACACTAGTTGCTATATCTAGGATCTGCCTGTAGAATTTCTATTTAAACACTCTAATTCTATATTCATCACACCTTACTAATGACTTCAGTAAACTAGTAAAGATATGCCATGTCACTAAGTTATATTTAACTTTGTACTAAATCTATTAGTGTATTCTATATCCTATACTTATAGCTTATCTGATATTGCTTTGACCTAAATTATTACTTGTAGTCAGGGCTAACTATTAAACTACTTTTATTCTTGTAAGGTTTATTCAAAACCTCAGTACCTATCTTTCTGATGTTCTTTCTATCTTCTTTTACTAACTGCTACTCAAGACTAACAAAACTTTTCAGACTTTCAATTCAAATGATCTGATATAGTATACCTTAGTATCTTTTTCTTTCGATGATTTTGACAGCCTGGTTGGTTATATGCTTCTCTATACATCTTGCTATTCAGTTTATCTATTTATCTTTTTGGAGATGTTTCATAGACTTTCATCAGTTTAATAGTATTGTCAAAAGTTTTGTACTATCTTTTTATTTAGCATTTTCAAGTAGATTTCTGATTTTTCAGTTCTTTCACTTTTTATACCTGGTGGTCTTATCATAGGTTTGCACTGAAATTTTATACAACACTAGTTATATATTTCTCTATATAAATGTAATATTATATTTAGCATAGATGCCTTGAGTTTCTATTCAAGATAATACAACTAAAAGTTACAGATATACTAATCTAATTGATTAACAGAAACAGTTATTATAATACAGACCTATTTTCCAAAATTCATCATCTATAAGATTTGAATTCTAAATCTGCTACTTGAAGGTTAACAATCTGATCACTTCACTAGGTCATCACATTCTTTATAATTATAATTTTATATAAGAATAAATATATATATATATATATTTATTTATTATACCAAAATAGAAACTTTATTAAATAATAAAAGAGTTATATTAAAGACTTCTAAACTACATTTATATTACTTATTTTAAGACATCCAATATGATATTATATCTTTATTTCTATATAATACTATTATTAATTGTTTCAAATTAATTTTAAGTATAGAAAGATTAAAGGAAATCTAAGGTAATAGTTTTGGTATTTAGTAAATAAATAGTCTAAAAATAACCAAATTTTAATAAATATAGTAGAATTAATAATAGATATATTAGAAGTATTAGATATTAATTGAGAGATAGAAACTAAAAAATAAAGAGAAGCATTTGATAAGATTATAAGAAAAGATAATGTTGTTTTATAAAGAAGTATTTTAATATTATCATATAAAGATATAAGATAGAAATTTTGAATAAAATTTAAAAAATAGATACAGTATATAGTAATGTATTAGAGTAGTAAAGTAATGTACAATAGTATAAATAGAATTTGTAATTTTAACAGAAATATTTAATTCTTGAGCAGTATTTGTAATTAAGTTATAAAGAATTTGTTGAAGATTGAATTTTTGTTTAGAACAAATTAGTAAATAAAATATATTTTTGATTAATTGACAATAGATATAATTTAAAATAGTGTATAATAAAAGATAATATATATTAAAATTTTGTATAATTAGTAAGTTGTTTAAGAATATATATTAATATCTATTGGTATTATATTAATTTTTATTTTAATAAAAAATAAAACTTTTACTAATAGCTTCACTAATAATAAGCTATTTATATATAAAATTTTTTGATCAATTTGATTGGTTAATATTATGTACTGTAAAATCTAGAATCTACTAATTGACTTTTTTTTTTTTGGTATTAAGGTAACCTCTTTGGTCTTTTGACTTTTATTAATCACTTATCGGTATGTGATTCAATGAATCACTATAGAAGAGTATAAAATTGGCTATATGTATAACTTTTCTATATTATCTATTTAAGGAGTCTGCCTAAAAGTTTCCTACCAATTGTCATATCTAACACTCCTGCTTGGATGTTCTACTTTAAATCTCTGAACCTGTAATCTGTATTAATATCACTGATCATCTCAGATGCCCAGATCATTATTTTCAATCTTAGAACTAATTTATTCTTAAGATAAACTCTCCAGAGTCTTCTGTATCTATTTTTATAACTGATCTAAGTATTGCTATAGCAGAACCAACACTTGTAATTAGAGCTAATCATTAAACTACTATGCCCTTATAGAGTTCACTTAGATCCCAGCATTTATTTCATAGCATAACCTTAGTACTTTAGTATACCTTTGTCTTTTGTTTAACCTTTTTACCAAACTCCCAATCCAAATAGTCTATATAGAACTATAACCAATCTATTAGTATATTGGGTCAGCCCAATATCCTTTTTCTTCAGTTCATTTTAGCAGCCTGATTGGTAATACTCTGAGACTTCCAACCTGAAGGTTCTTGCCTGTCTGGTTATTACAACTGGATACTATAACCTTGGTATCTGTTTTCCTGAGCTAGTCTTTACAGTAAAACTGTTGAAGATCCAGCTATCTCTCTACTCAGATTTTTTCAAATAGACTTCTTGTTATCTAATTTTAACAGATTTATATAACCACAAGGACTTATCTAGTGTTTGCACTGCCCAATTTGTTGGTTTGCATTCCTTTGTATAATGCCATACTTACACAGATGCCCCATAACCTGCCAGTCATACTGGTATAACTGCTATTACAGATATTCTAATCTAGTCATTAGTAACAGTTGTCGTAATACAAATATTACATAGGTGATTATCTAAATTTTCATTGTTAATAGGATTTGAACACCCAACCTACCATTTGAGGGGTTGACAATCTGACTACTTCATTAGATCACTATATCCTCTAATTAACATTTTTATATTATAAAAGATACAATCTTCAATATTTATTTTTGGTAAATTCTCTAATTATATTTATAATTTTTGTTATAATCCAAAAGGTTAATTATAAAAAGATATAATTATACTATCTATATAAGAGTAAGTCAATAGAAAAGAAGCAAATCATTTTTAGTAAAAATTTTTTTAATTTTTAAATTTAAATAATTCAATAACTATTTAATTAAATCTACTAAAAATTTTTATTTTAATCTTAAAATTATATAGAACTAAAATAAAAAAAAATTATCAAATTTAATAAAATAGTTATTAAAATATTTAAGCTTAAAGTCAAGAAAACTTTTATTTAAAAAAAATTTATCCCTTTTTTATTAACTCCTTCCCATATATAAAAAAATGTTTTTAATAAATAACAAGTAATTAAATAGTATTAACTGTATTAATATAAAACAAAAAATTTATTTTAATTTGTTAAAACTTTAAGAAAAAATTTTTTTATAAAATTTTGATATAAACTATGACTTTTCAGTTCTAGTAATTAAAATTATTTTATTTTAACAAAAATTGGTTTGATTTATATACTCAGGTTTAAACACTCATGTACACCTAACTGATGGCATGCCAGAAAGTCAAAATAGTTAATAGAGAAAAAACTTAGTACAAAGTGGCACAGGCATGCCAGGTTTCCTAACACCTAATAATTTTTTTGTCAAAATTCTTTATTCAAAATTTAAACCATTTTATTACTATTTTTTTTTGAATAAATGTATACGTCGCATACTGCGATGTGCTTATACATCGCATATATTACAAATTATAATTTAACAACTAAAATAAACTAGTTTTTTGTTTAGTTAGGGTTAGGGTTATGTAGGATTAGATGCAATAAACGGAACATGATTTATAGTAAAAATTTTCAAGAAATTTTTTTTTTTTTGTTAGAGTGCAAAGATAGTTAATGTGAAATTTTTGAGTTATAAGTGTGACTTTTGTCAAAACAAACGTTTTCTTGATCGTGCTACGTTACACCTGATAATGGAATTTGATTGGTCGATCATTAATATGCGATGTATAAGCACATCGCAGGGTTGCGACGCCTAATTAAGTCCTTTTTTTTTTATCAAACTTTCAAACTTTAAAATAAAAAGATACATATCTCGAAAACCACCTAAGCCAATTCAATGAATTGTTTATTTTAATTATTTTAATTCTGCATGTTTGATGTCTGTAGAATTAAAACAAAAAAAGTTTATCAAATTCGATTAGGTGGTTATCGAGATATCTAAAAAAAATTTACATAGCTGATAAGGGTACACAAACTGATGTACGAAAACTTCTGATGCACGTGTAATAATTCTATAACGCGTACACATACACGCATATCTTAGACGTGACGATAAAGGCATAATGATTTTTTTTTTCGAATGATTTTTTTTTCTAACGTTATCTTTTACCTCTACCTGTAACATCTCTTTTATCTATGAATAGTTCGACGTTTAATACCCCCAGTACTCCTGTGCGCCAGCATGATAGTTCTAGGTGTACTCCCGTTCGTCAGCTCGATAGCATCGGGAATTCACATAATTTGAACTCTTCTCCGGCAACGGTGACATCTATAAATTCTTTAAACGGGAGTGCTTCACGAAGAAGGCTGGTCTTCATCAGACGTTCAGCTGCCATAAATGAAAACCCTGAACACCTTGCTCAAGATCCTTCCTCGGATCCTCTTAGAGTGCTTTTAGATGAAGAGGATGGAATTACGAGGTGACAGACGAATTTATGATAATTTTTATCCTCAATTTACTGTAATAATAAATTCTTTGACCTACAGTACTTCAGGGACAGTTGGATCAATTAGAACATCCAGATATCAACGCGGTGATATACACCCTACCACTAGATTACCTTTAGATGGTGATAATGAGAATGGTAATTTGGATGAATTGCCGGCTCGTGAAAGTGAAAATCTTGAAGAAGAACAGAGAAGAGCAAGAGAAAGGCAAGATCAAATATGGGGTACAAATATAGAAATAAAAGAAGTCAAAAAATCTTTCGAAGATTTTCTTCTTAATTTTAAACTACAATACCGTAAAGAGAAAGAACAAGTTAGAGTTACAGATATGGACAGGGAATTTTTCTATCAATATTATATGCAAAAGGTAATTATTTGCTAAAAATAATTTACGAGTAGGTATTAATTAATTTCTTATTTGACTTAGATTAAACAAACTGAAATATACAAAATGAACCTTGACATGCAAAACCTTCTTGCATATGATCCATCAAGAAGATTATATTTTCAACTTATGAATTATCCCCAAGAAGTTCTTCCAATTTTTGATGACGTCCTTACAGCCACTTACAAAAGGCATTGTGGGATCAATGATCCCAATAACCAAATAATGTTGAAGGTATATTCATTATTTTTATTCATTCTTATGCCAATTTAATGTTGAATTTCTAAAAAAAATTAATTAGGTCCGACCATTCAACTTGGGAAAATCCACAAACATGCGAGATTTGAATCCAGCAGGAAATTATTTAAATTATTATCGACCAATATATTATATCTTTTCTTATTATTGAATTTTTTTTATATCGTTTATTATTTAACAGATATTGATAAAATAGTATCTATCAAGGGTCTTTTTATCAGGACCTCCCCTATACTCCCTGAAATGTCTGCTGGTACGTGTTCTGTAATTTTCAAATATTCATTTATCTATTACTAGATTGTTAAGTAATAATTGATATTTCGGAAAAGCATTTTTCCGATGTTCGATTTGTGATTCTTGTGTCGAGGTTGAGGTGGATCGCGGCAAGATTGACGAACCTCACAGATGTCGCAGACGTGAATGTAACTCAACAAACACAATGACTTTAATACACAACAGGTCTTCTTTTAAAGATAGGCAAGTTTGTCGATTACAAGAAACCCCAGGTTTGTAATTTTTTTGATCTTTTAAAACTAATATTTTCACGCCTGGTGTACGATATGCGATCCTCAGAAAATAGACCAAAATTGGTCAAGTGGAAATAAAATTATTGATGATTGTATTAAGGAATCTCAAATTAAAGCTATAAGATATTCATATATTTTTTTATAATATGCATGGTTTGACTACTTACTCAAACTTATTAAATGATCTTAATAGACAACATTCCTGATGGGCAAACTCCTCACTCTGTTTCTGTTTGTTTATACGATGACCTAGTCGATTCTGTACGACCTGGTGATAAGTACGTTGGTTTGTTTTTTCAAACAATTCATATATTCATATTAAATTTATTTGATATTAAATTTGTTGATTTTGTATTTCATAACATTATTACCATCAAAATTTCAGAGTTGAATTAACCGCCATTTATCGTTCTGCGCCAATTCGGGTTCATCCACGCAAACGTACTATTAAAGCTTTGTTTAAGACATATCTTGATGTTGTTCATATTGCAAAAGCTGATCAGAGTCGTTTGAATAGTATGCCTGGTCACGAAGATTATTTGAGGTATAATAAACTAATGTATAATTTTCTAATGATATCATTTTTAAATAAATATTTTTCAAATAAATATTAATTCAAAAACAGTTATGATTTAAATGTTGAAAGCGATGATTTAACTATTGTTCCAGAAGCAAATGGGGAAAATGATCTAATAATTCGGGAAGATAACACAAATACTTCATCAAATAAACATGAAGCCAGACCAGAATTTACAGAGGAAGAAATTCAATCTTTTGAAAATATGGCAAAGCAACCTGACTTATATAATTCTCTAGCACAATCGCTAGGTAAAATCAAATATTTTTATTTTTTATGCTTATTTGTAAATTTTATATCATATATTCTCTTTATAATTGTTTTATCAACCTTTAGCACCAAGTATTTTCGGATTAGATGATATTAAAAAAGGTATACTCTTACAGTTATTTGGAGGAACTCGTAAAAAATTTACGAAGTCAGGTTCGCCTCAATATAGAGGTGATGTGAATGTTTTGCTGGTCGGTGATCCTGGTACTGCAAAATCTCAGATGCTTCAGGTATTATAAACAAATTTATTACCCTAGGGATATATAGATTGTCAATAAAGACACTAAAAGTATAAAAAAAAAAAATCGCATTTTTTTCTTTCGCTTTTTAGTATGTCCATAAGATTGCTCCTCGTGGAGTTTATACTTCTGGAAAAGGATCCTCAGCGGTTGGTTTAACCGCGTATGTTACAAGAGATCCAGATACGAAACAAATGGTGCTAGAAAGGTAGATCGATAGTGAAAACTATATAACTTTTATCTGCTTTAAAGATATATTTATTAATTAACTAAATTCGTCTTTGCAGTGGCGCGTTGGTACTTAGCGATGACGGTGTTTGTTGTATTGATGAATTTGATAAGATGTCAGATGGAACACGCGCTATCCTTCATGAAGTGATGGTTAGTACTACCATTCATTTATTATTGCAATCATTGAGGAATAGAGAAATATTTATATTCATACGCTTTTATATAAATAGGAGCAACAAACTGTCTCTGTTGCTAAAGCTGGGATTATTACAACTCTTAACGCTCGTACATCTGTCCTTGCATCTGCTAATCCAGTCGACTCGAAATATAATCCAAAGCTTTCCATAGTTAAGAACATTGATTTGCCACCAACCTTAATGTCTAGGTAACATAATAGCACTTTAATTTATATTTATTAACATATATATAAAATGACAGAAAATAGTCAACTTATAAGTACATTTTTTATCTTCAGATTTGATCTAATTTACTTAGTATTAGATAAAGTAGATCGGAATGCAGATAGGAAATTAGCAAAACATTTAGTTTCTTTGTATAGAGAAGATAATCCTTGTGTTTCTAGAGATGATATTGTGGTGAGTTAATTTAATTTTATTACGTACTAATCTTCAAATTCGCATAAATTTAACTTTTAGTTTTATAGCCTATCAAGACTTTAACAAAATATATTAAATACGCTCGCAAAAATTATCATCCGTTTATCGGAGATGATCAATCAGCAAATGCTTTGGTTAATGCTTATGTAGATTTGCGTAAAATTGGAATTGATCCTCGTTCTTCTGAAAATATCATTACTGCTACAACTAGGCAGCTGGAATCAATGATTAGACTATCAGAAGCGCATGCACGCATGAGGTAATTTTGAGTTAATAATTGTGGTAGATTGTGTTTAGAGTTATTAATGGTGGTGCCCGGGAGATACTAAATGCTATATATATTAATAGTATTATTTACAGAGGTGCTATTCAAAAATTTTGGCATCTGTAGTTGAATAGCACCCCAGTACTTTACCAAGGGGGCACTGCTATACGGTAGAGTTTAATATTACCGTATTATCCCATTTTTTTACAATTTTAATTGGTTCAAATAAAGTTCAACCAATCATAGATGCAGATTGGTTAAATTTTATGTTAAAATTAAATTTATATATATTGTTCGGGACCCTAACCCCCAAAAATAATTGTCCAAAAGAATTTAAATCCACAAATAGATAAGACTTCATTAGTTACCGCAATAATGATACCTAATGTGAATTTTTACTTAATACTATATTTTATCTAGGCTTTCAAAAAAAGTTGACATATCGGATGTTAGAGAAGCTGAACGACTGCTTAGAGAAGCAATACAGCTTTCTGCATGGGACCCTGAAACCGGTAGAATTGATATGGATTTAATTACTACAGGGCATGGTAGTTATGAAAGACGTGTGCTTGAAGCTATGCGTGACGCCTTTGCAAAGATGTTGTTGGAAATGAGTTCAAAAAGTATATCGCTTAAAAAAGCTTTAGAAAATTTTAGAGCACAATCAGATGAGGTAAATTGTATGAAATTGCTTTAGAATCCTATGCTGTGTTTGAAATAATTATCTTACTAGTTTATTTAAAATATTTTTATACATGTAGCCAATTCATGATAAACAATTTGAAAATATTCTCCGAACTCTAGAATATGATGGAGCTATTAAAGTTACTGGAAGTAGTCGAAGTGATCGTATGATAACAGTTATTTGATCGTTAATAATTACACTTGTATATCATACAAATATCAGCTTTTACATACAAATAATAAATCATCGAGAAAATGCGCATTTTTTTTTATCCCATTTGTACTATAGTATTACTTTTGACCAATATACACAAGTCTTTTCATGCTTAGTTATTCGTTTACCGTCGTATCGTTCAGTTACCACGCCGAAGTGAAGACAATTCAGTATACGTTAGCCTGCCACGCAAAGTTTCAGAATCCTACCTAAATCCTATACATGATAAAATTATCCCAAACTTCAAAGGTTCTGCTAGCAAGCATAAGCATACGGTTCCTTAACTAAACATTACAAATTATCTTATTATTGCGTTATTGATTACACGCATTTAGTTTTAATTATTTTTTATTCTTATATTAATGCTATAATAACCCTATTTTCTAACTTAAGATTCATAGGAACTTACTAAATACATAGGCAGAAATTCGACTGATTGGTTAATTTTTTGTAGCACATTTTTTAAAATTAGCCAATCAAATTTTATGGACTTAGGCCAATCCAGTTAGTGATAAATTATGTAATTAGGGTAGCTACGCGACGCTGTCACTCTTAAACCAGGAACTTAGTATATGTTTCATTGGTGCTCTGACAATCATTTCACTGACAGCTCATTTGACCGACATCATATAGGGTTAGGATTAGTATTTTATTGTTTATTGGTACATATTTTTTAGTAAACTGTCGCTTGGTGTGATGTTGGTTAAATGAGCTGTCCGTGAAATGACTTTCGGTGAATTAATACGAACTCATTTCATTTGATTTTTTTTTTTCTATTTTATTGGATGTCGGTGCAAAATTTTTGGTCGATATATAAAGTTAGAATTATCTGGTTTTATTTTTTCTCGTCGTTGAAATTTTGTTGTTACGCAGGATTTGTATAAAAGAATAATTGCAGATATATATGTTGTAGAGTGGATTCGGAACTTTGTGGATTATGATTTTACTTGTGTGGATCTGAATAAACTAAGTAAATTTCAATAAACTAAGTAATTTCAAGTGAAATGGAATTTCGAGAATCGTGAACAGTTTAAATTTCTATAACATAATTTTATAGTTAAATATTACATCATCGTGATAGAATTAAATATGTTTGACTTAATATTGTTTGATAACAATTGCATCTATATACCTGATTAGAGCGTTTACTTGTACAATAATCGTTCCTCAATTATGTTATCATCACATTGTGTACTTGATATGAATGTCATCAAGGGAAAAGGGCACACTTGTACGTATTTTTTTCAGTATTGATATTGAATATCTTTTGAATTTATAATGTTTTACAAAAATGATTAATATAATTTTGATGGGTTTGTAAAGTCCGATATATGTCAGAGCGGAAGAGTTGAAACGGATAAATACTCAATAATTTATCTTAAAAATGAGTGGGACTCATATGTAGAAAAAACTATGTTTTTGTGACTTTTGATGACTAATATTTCGTCTTGATCAACCTCAAGATCATGGTATTATGTCGACTCTGCTTATTTACTCCTTATAAGTATTATTAAGTATTTCAGCTTATATCATAAGTGATTTGTTTCACTCGATAATTCATAATTTGATCCGATTTTTTTTTGGAATTATCAAATTCATATTAGTTGGCTCATGTAGCATTGCAGTAATAAGTTTGTAATGGGTTTGTGAAATGAAAGTTTTACGTCTAGCTACTTATTATTTTTCGAAAACTTATTAGCTAATTTGCAAGCAACGACATCATAAAAGCAATTTTTGGGTTGTTGTTTTAATCGAAAATTTTTTAAACACTGACTTTTTTAAAATTATTCACAATATATATCGTATTTCGATATATGTTGTATTTGAGCCAGAGGTGTAATGCAAACAGTGTTTCGATAGCCAATCATATTTCGAGATCAGGTGTAACATAAAAGAAGTGCAAATAAAAAATTTTCAAACCAAATACTAATTTACTGTTATGTAGGACCCTAACCCTAAATTAATTGCGAAAAGTTTTTTTCTTAGCAAAATTATTTTTTTTAATAAGATCACATAATGAGCGAAATTTTTTAGACTGGCATTGCTAGCCCCATTGTGTAATGCATTGTAATGCAAAAACATAAAATCAAGTCAGAAAATCAGATATAACTCAACATTTTACACTTTACATGCACTAACAAAAACTTTTCCTTATGAAATTTTGGTATTAGTGGAGTTCTTTCTGATCTAAACTAGTATCAACCCTGGCTTTAATTTTATTGCGAATTTTTTTAAAGTAGTGATGCTAGGGTCTTAGTAATAATTATCTTTCGGCCAGAGATGAGTAAAAATTTCATTTAATTTAGTCCAAATAACGATCATTAAATTATTGGATTTTGTTATGCCTACTAACCATATTAGGTATGTCAGTTGGAATTTTTGATGCCTATTATGCATATATATAATTTGATATATATATATATTGAAAACAGGCGAAACGACGAGTCAGTCGCTCCACGATCCAAATTCTCGTGTAACCTACGGTTGGCTTAGTCGGAAAGAGGCTTTACTTATTTGTGCCGGTAATACAAACTCCTAAAAAAGAAATAGACAATCAGTGAATTCAAATTTTGATCGTTCCGGATCAGCCTGACATGAATTCTGAATAACTAATGTTTGCTAATAAATCCCATATAGTCAAGTAATTTAGATCCTCCATCTTCTCTTTTCTTTTTTGGTATGAATTGGTATGGTTTGTTTGCTTAGTAAGGTGCAGTCTATATTCAGTCTTCTGTAAGTTTAGTGTTGTTCATTTAGCTGTTCTATTTTTAAAATTTTGGGTTTGCCTTTCTCTAATTGTATTATAGCTAGAATTATTCTTTTGTTTTTCTACTTTTATAGAGATAAGTTTACACCAATCCTCTTCTTTTTTTAATATTTTCTCGTTTATTGTTCTTCTGTTATATTTGCAATCAAATTTTACTATAATCCAATTATTTCTATTCTGAAAACTTTCTTCTATCTTTTTGATGTGTTTGTCATTTCTAAGCACTCATTTCATAAAATTAATTCTGTATTCTTTTGTTTCATCTGAAATCTTGTATGTCAGAATTTTTGCTTTAAATAAGTTTTTTTTGTTATATAATCTATTTTGAGATGATCAAAAACTATCTTCTAGTGGTGTTAAGTTGATTTGTTTTTTTGAATTTGTTTCTTGGTTTTTAGCATCTTCTTTTCTATTAGTATAGTTAGAATTATCTTGATTTGACTTTATGCATTTTGCTTTTGAAGACATTCTACTATTTTCATTTTTGTTTTCAACTTTACTAATCTTGACTGCTAACTTTTCTAAATTTGTTGTTCAGTGGTTTTGACTTGATATGTTAGTTTCTATAACTATAGCAAGGTCTTCCATATTATTGCTATTGTTCTGACTGTTTTCTTTTGTTGTTTTAACTGTTGGTTCTTCTTGTTTTTGTTTTTTTGGTCCAATTGGTTGGAAGTTAATATTTACATCTTCTTTTTCTATTTCTATTCTGTTTTTTTTTTAATATTATTAAACTACTCATATTAGCTATATATTTAATTGCTCCTAGATTGTGTTGCATCATTCTTGCTTTCATTGCCTATTTCTCAATTAATGTTTTTTTAAGGCTTCTAGTTTTGATTTGCCTTAACATTTCAAGAACTTGACTGTAAATTAACTAATCCTGTTTTGTAATTTCATTTGGATTACCAATTGCTATACTGTATACTATTTATTCTATATTGTTTGAATTGTGTAGTATTATGTCTTTTAGTGCTTTAGTTAACATATTGCTATCTAAGTAACTAAGATTTTTTTCACCTGCTTTCCAAATAAACTTAAGTAGCCCTGCTTGTGTAACTCACTCATCTTCTAATTTGTACTTAAATAATAATCAACTAATATTTATTAGTAGTGTTGTTCTAGATTTTTCTAAAAAGAACTACATGCTTTTCTGTTATTATTTAATTGTGTGATTGTTGTTTTCTTGTAATTTATTTACTTAACCAAAAAGGAAATGTAATCTATTGTTTGTTTACTTTGTTGTTTATA